CCTTAACAAGGTCAAAGAATCAGAGATTCCACTCTCTACTAGATTGAACGCTAAGTAATTCAAAGGCAACACAGCACTTGAAGTCTGTGCACAAGAAATACAATCTACTAATGACACTACAGTTAAGTAGCGTCAGTCTCTAGCTAGGACTCTGTTTAATAACATAAAGTCCAAGCCCGAAGTCTTTCAAACCCTGTTTCTAAAGGGATTAATGAAAAATAATCCCGAAGTATATACATATATAATGCGACTATCAAACAGATCAGGTGTATCAAACGCATACGAGCACACTCATGACACTCATGCGAAAGAAGGACAAGAGTCTGGAAACACTATAGACTTAGAGACCACGCAAGTGGTTTCTCAACACCCTACCTTTATTCTGGAGGACCAGAATGTTGAAGACATTCTTGCTTGGCTGACGCAAAACCATAAGCTGAAGCACCAGAACGTAGCAGACGCAAAGACATTCTTGCTTGGCTGACGCAAAACCATAAGCTGAAGCACCAGAACGTAGCAGACGCACTTAAAGATGCTAAGCAAAATGGGATCGCGCACCCTAAGCTGGCAACTTTAGTTGACAGATTATATCAGTCATGTACAGACTGTGATCTCAACCAGATTAAGCGCTATGGGTTCGCACCGCTTAAGATTGTGACTGAAGATGTTCCATGGCGCAGGGTCATCATTGATCTCGTTGACCTGCCTACGTCCGAGCATACAGGAGACCGTTACGTAAGCCACTTCTTTGATGTGGCGTCACGGTTTAACTTGCTCTATCCATTAAAGGATAAGAATACACAGACCGTGGCAGAATTATGTTGTCAAGTCTTTGCTGACCACGGAATGTGCATTGATAACGGTAGCGAGTTCTGCGATGACGTAATGGAATTGTTAGTACTCGTATCAGGCATGTGCCATAAAAGAGGTGTACCATATAAACCGCAAACGCAAGGCGCGAATGAAACGCGCCACAGAAGACTTAAGTTCTTTTTACGTACTGCATTAACGGATGATGCAGATGATTGGCCGTACCACCTTAAGTGGGTACAAACACAGATGAACGAGTGTGCTGATCCGGATACAGGAACAACACCCGCTCACTATTTTCGTGGCAGGTATAGTGAGTTACAAATACCCTTTAACAAGGACGAACCTGACCACCATGAGTTACCATGGTTAGAGAGGGTACAACGCATACATAACGTTAAATATCCTTGCTTGCGAGAGACACGTAATGTGGCCTTATTAGAAAGGCAAAATAGATGGAATGCTACCAAAAAGATAGCAGAGTATCAGGTTGGAGACAGAGTTAACATCCGTCAACGTAATTCCGATGCAACTGTATTAACATCGAGAAAAAAATAGGATCATATATAATCTCTGTAGCCGACACTAAAAGTGGAACCTATGAGGTTAATAATACCCGACGGTTCTAGTGCTTTAAATATAGGCACTGGTCGAATTCCGACTACTGAGATAATTCTCGCAAGAAGACATGATTCTACTGCACCTCTTGACCGCTCCGAATTCAGAGATATTATATGGAGAACGGATAAAGGAGGATATACATACTATCGTACACACTTTATAGACGGTACAATCGCCGAGTTAACTTCAGACGCTTTCGATAATCAAGACTATTTAAAAGCCTTTAATCGAAAATGGCGTAAACCCCTGCATATGTCACAAGCTGAAAATGATAGCATGTTTCCATCGTCATGCTGGAGAAGTGTGGGCACCAGTGTCCGGGGGTGTGTGGAGAAGTCTGTCCTTCGAAGGAGTACTGTGTGATGTGCGCGCCCGAGAAGATCAAGGAGATGCAGGTGGGTGGGGGGGGTTACACGGGATAGAGCAGCATGGAGAAGGGGTCGTTGAGGGATGGGCGCTATGTGTTGGTGGTGTGTGGCAGTGGTATGCGTAGGAGTGGGATGAGTGTATGTCCTGCACTCCACTGGGTGCGTTAAACCTATATGCAGGCGTGTGTAGTAGTATTGCGAAGAGGAGTGTTTGTGTTCCATGTCTAGGTCATTACGGCACTTTAAAGGCATGTACATGAATGTTTAGGGCAAGTTGTATAGAGCCATGCACTGTATTGGTCTCCGCCTTATATTTTATTCTTTTGAGTATCACATCGACTAATCGAGCAGTCACTTCTGATCGAGCCTAAACCCTAAATCCTAAACCCTAAACGTGACGGAGACAGATCTACCATGCACAATACAATCCGTGAATGTGCGGTCTATTGGGGTTTGAGCGCGCCATTTCGGCCATGTGCACTGCATACACAACGCACTACTTTCACTGTACAAAGCTGAAATAGCTATATACTGGCAGGTGTGTACAGACACCTGCCTAGTCTCGCATCTATTGCAACACCACACAGATTAACCGACCGACCGAATTTGTCTGAACAATGCGTGCTATTAGCGGCAAACACGAATGCTGTCACGTACAAGTATAGGGTTGTTGGACTGGCCAAAGCAAAGGCATTGAAACTTTTATATACATGTATAGTTTGCCGCGTCTAGTCTCATCGACTGGTGTAGTGTTTGTATCGTGAGGGCGTCTGCATTGTTCCTTAGTGAGTGTATTCAAATGCAAACAGGGAAGTGATCGATGAAACACATTACTTTATATTTGTCTAGTCATAACTCAACGCACGCGTGCGTACGCACATAGCACATATGCACAAACGATTGTACCTTCCAACCACGCTTCTGATACCCAAAGCAGATCAAAAGAATACCTAAAGAGGTTACTAGATATATGTGCCCTTTCCACACTCCTTGTATCCCAGAGACCAACGCAAACCAAGTATATACAGTACATACATATACACGCGCGTTCATCTACACACGTGTCTTATACAGGTGGATATGATCATGCTTACCACTTTTGCTGCGCATGATCCCGACGAATCGCCACTGGTGGTGTTGAATTGCGGCCATGCACTGACTGTCGAAACACTGGACGGTCATCTGGACATGTCGGCCTTCTATGCATCCCACTTGGTACGTATACCTCTTGGTTTCATCTCATACGTCAAGTAGGTCCTCGGGTAAATACATACATACATATATATATATATATATACATATATATATATATATATATATATATATATATATATATACTACTACACACACACACACACACACACACACACACACACACACACACACACACACACACACACACACACACACACACA